TTTCTAAGAGTGGAATCATAGAATATGTGACCTTTTGCGTCTGAGCTTTTTTTCACTTAGCATAGTGTTTTCCAAGATTCATTCAGTTATATCATGTACTTAATCTCTTTTCATGGCTAAATAATATTCCACATTTTTAAAATCCATTCATCTATTGACAGACATTAGGGTTTTTTTCTACCTTTTTGCTACTGTGAATAAGTGCTGCTATGAATACTCACATGCCTGGATTTGCCTGAGTACCTGTTTTTAAATCTTTGGTAGTATATATATGTTGGAGTGGAATTGCTGGGTCATATAAACAATAAATACTTTGCTTTGAAAAAAGCAGGTGTTAGACTTTTTTTTTTTTTTTGAGACGGTTTTGCTCTTGTCTCCCAGGCTGGAGTGCATTGTGCGATTCTTGGCTCAGCAACCTCCACCTCCTGGGTTCAAATGATTCTCATGCCTCAGCCTTCTGAGTAGCTGGGATTACAGGTGCCCACCACCACACCCAGCTAATTTTTGTATTTTTGGTAGAGACAGGGTTTCACCATGTTGGCCAGGTTGCTCTTGAGCTCCTGACCTCAGGTGATCTGCCGGCCTCAGCCTCCCAAAGTGCTAGGATTACAGCCATGAGCCTTCATGCCGGTCAGTGTTGGACTTTTGAACAACGTACTCACAAAGTTTTTTGTTGTTGTTTTGTTTTGTTTTGTTTTAGCAAAGGAAAGGGCATGAATTTCAGAAAATGGAAGGGAAGTACTGGGGGTTAGTATTATATGCTACACAAATGTAGTAATTCAATCTAGTGTTTGCAGTTCACATGTATCGTGTCACAAGACTTGTTTTTTTAAGGGATGGAGTCTCTATTGCCCAGGATCAAGAGCAGTGGTGGGGACAATAGCTCACTGAAGCCATGAACTCCTAGACTCCAGCTATCCTTCCACCTTGGCCTCCCAAGAAAGAAGAGTAGCTAGGTCTACAGGTACCAGTCACTGAGCTGGGCTTCTTTTGTTTTTGTTTAATTCTTTATTTGTAGAGACAGGATCTTGTTATGTTGCCCAGTCTTGTCCATAACTGCTAGCCTCACAGGATCCTTCCACTTCAGCCTCCCAAAAAAGCTAAGACTACAGGCGTGAGCCACTATGGCCAGCCCATGTTGCAGAATTTTTACAACGTCCTGAAAAATTGAGTTCAGGCATCATTATTCTTCTCATTTTATGGGAAGAAAATCAAGGCAGAGCTATGTGAAGTAATTCCTTAAAGACACAAAAGGAGGACGAGATCTGAAGACCTGATCTTTGGTCGATTTCAGTCTTTTTTTTTTTTTTGACAAGAGTCTTGCTCTGTCGCCCAGGCTGGAGTGCAGTGGCTGATCTCGGCGTACTGCAACCTCCGCCCCCCGCGTTCAAGTCAGTCTCCTGCCTCAGCCTCCCGAGTAGCTGGGATTACAGGCACATGCCACCACACCCGGCTAATTTTATATTTTTAATGGGGACCGGGTTTCACCATGTTGGCCAGGCTGGTCTGGAACTCCTGACCTCAAGTGATCCGCCCGCCTCAGCCTCCCAAAGTGCTAGGATTACAGGCTTGAGCTACCGTGCCCAGCCGCTCGTTTCAAGTCTTGTTACCCAACAAGGCAGCCATGAAGGTAGTACTAGAAAGCCAGGAATTGGAAGACTATGACGTTTCAGGAAAAGCAGCAGAGTTCTTCCCTAAGATGGGGGTAGGAGGAGGGCAAAGAAAACAAAGGTGGTTAGATAGATTGTCTCCAGCTTCAGGTCTCCTATGATTAAGACAATGTCAATGTAATCTAATATACCACTTTTTTTTTTTTTTTTTTTTTTGAGACAAAGTCTTGCTGTGTCGCCCAGGCTGGAGTGCAGTGGTGCAATCTCGGCTCAGAGCAACCTCCGCCTTCTGGGTTCAAGCAATTCTCCTGCCTCAGCCTCCCCACTAGTTGGGATTACGGGCGCCTGCCACCACGCCCTGTACATTTTTTTTTTTTTTTCACTAGAAACGGGGTTTCACTATGTTGGCCAGGCTGGTCTTGAATTCCTGACCTCGTGATCCGATTGCCCCGGCCTCCCAAAGTGCTGGGATTACAGGTGTCAGCCACCACTCCCGGCCCACCACTCTTTTTATAGACAGTTTTTTCTAAAGGACCTCGTAGACAATTCTTTTGGTAGCCGCAGAGCATAGCTGGGGAAAAGACAGGAATACTACCTAAGCCTCTTTACTGAGGACCTAACAGTGGAATGGCCTCTATGAATGCCACAGGGACCAATACCGACTGAGGGCTTAAACAAGATGGTGTCGCCGCAGGACCGCTCTATCTTCCCGGATGAACTCTATGGCACAGCATGGGCATTCGATTTAGAGAAGTGAAGCCGAGATGGGTGGCAACCTGACCACACTAGCGCGCTAGGAAGAGTGGTACGGAAAGACATCTCCCGCGCATGTGTGGAATTGAGGGGACGGATTGCAAGACAAGGGGCCCACCCCACAGAGCAAGTTTTCTGAAACGTGTGAGTCGTTTAAGTCCAGTTAAAGCCGAGGTGGGGCGTATCCTGCGACGCATGCGTTCTAGGCGAGACAAGCGATATAGTGGCGTGGTCTTTTCAACGCCCGGCGTGCAGACGACGTCTGAGGTGGAAGGGGCGTTTAAGATTCCAAATACGCATGCGTTCTGAGACCGAGGCGTTTCCTTCGGAGGGTGTGGAGTGCAGGGCTCCTTATTGCGCAGGCGCAAGGACTGTCCGGTAGGACGAGCGGTCTATCAAGGGGAGGGAAGAGGAGGTTGAAGAGATTAAAACCGGGTGCGCCTGCGCGTTGCCGATTAGTTAGAAGCGCTCAGGGTTTGTGAGAGGCGGAGTCACGTATGCGCGTCATTGGACGGGTAGGTGGGAGGGAGGGTGGAGATGGGATGGGTGTGTGCGCTTGCGCAGTGCGGGGGTGGAGGGCGGAGGAGATAGATAGCACGCTTGCGCGGCTGTCATAGGGCTGCTTGGTTGGTCAGTGGGGAGTCGGCGCCTGCGTACTAAGACCCGTGTGCAGCAGCGGCGGCGGCGGTAGAGGCGGCGGCGGCAGCGGGCTCGGAGGCAGCGGTTGGGCTCGCGACGGGCGGACGGGGTCGAGTCAGTGCGTTCGCGCGAGGTGAGAGCGGGCAGGGCGCGCGTGCGCGGTACCTTGACTTGGGCCTGGGAGGAGAGATGGAACTGCGCGGGGGTCGGGGAGGGGGCAGAGGGGAGCGGCGGCCGCCGCGGCACGGGCTTGGTCTGAGAGGGGAGCGAGGTGCGGAGAGGCGCGGGTGCGCGCCCTGGTTGGCGCGCAGGGTGACGGTTGGGGCCGGCCCGGTGACGTTGGAGCGACGCAGGGAGGGGGACGGTGAGCCGCGCGGCCGCCACGCGGGAGAGGCCGCCAGGCGGCCACGCTGGGGCGAGGGCCAGGTGCCAGATCGGCCCACCGGGGCAAGGGTACCTCGCCGTTGAGGACCGGGCGCCGCGCGGCCACGTGAGGTGGGGGAGGGGGCTATTCGGTGAGAGGGTATGTTGGGGGGGGTTGGCAGACGGTCGGGGGGAGGGGAGGCGGTGTGGCTCTGGCCTGGCGTAGCCTCTGAGGAGGGGGCGGCCGCGGCACCGGAAGTGCCCCCCACGGGAGGCTGCCCTCGGGGTCTCAGGCCGCATGGCGGAGCATGGACCGGGGCCGCATGGCAGCGCGGGGACCCCTCCCCCTCTGTCCCGTCCACCGGAAGCCCCTGACGGCCACATGGTCGGCAGGAGCCGGCAGCTCCTGCCGCGGGGAGAGCTAGTCCTTGCGGGGGGTCCTAGGGTGCCTGGGATTTTGAGGAGTGGGAGAAGCCTGAGGCCCGGGTCCTGATTACCCCGGAGGGCCCGCCGCAGGCATATGTTAGCGCTTCCCAACCTCATGGGCCCCTGGAGCTTTCCTCCAAAACCTTCCTGGAAAGTGAGGCGGCCAGCCAGGTGTAAGTGGCACTCCTCCGAGCAGGGAGGCTGGAGAAATGGGGAAACTGAGGGCGTTTGGACAGGAGCCCTACTCTTCTGTCGGCCCGTGCCGACAGCGCGTTAAAGTCTCAGGCAGTTTCCCACCGTGATAGGCGCTCTTCACCTTGTCGCTGTCTTCCCGTTGTAACTGGTTTGGGAGTTCCTCAGTTTCGAAGTCCTTAACTCTACTAGCCTAGTATGATTTCTACTACTCACTACTACCAACGTTTTGCTTTCATTTTATTGTCATTCACCACCCCCCACCTCTCCCACTTTCTACTGACTGTACTGGCCCGGCCTGAAAAGCCGACAGAACAGATGCATCCTGGGAAAAGTGGGAGGACCTTCCAGGAGAGGCTGGGTTCCTGGGTTCTCTTTGGGAACCATGATCGAGCTGTTTGGCAGGGGGATCATTTCGGAAACAACTTTGCTTTCTCCCCCTTGGCTCCATCTGCAAGTGCATGTTGGCGAGGCGGGAATCCCCCAAAGAGGCCTTGTGGTTTCCTGTAGCAGTGACTGGTTTGTGTGTGGATGGGGGGGCGGGTTGTAACAGATGGGTGGGGCCTTGTCCTCTGGTCTCCACCCTCCCCCCCTCACATTAGCCCTGCCCTTTTGCTGGATCATAGCTGCTCACCTAATTATAGCCCTGGTTATATGTGGGGGAGAGGGGTGGTTGGTTTCAGTGGCAAGTAACACCTGAGTCCTCCCCCGTCCCAAGAAGTAGGTCTTTTCTCATCTCTGAGTTTTGACACTCCAGCTCCCTGAAGCCTTCCTTTCCCAAGCCACCACTTTAGCTTTGATTTGTGGGGGAGAAACCAGCTATTCAACCCTCCCATATACACACCAGTTCTTGAGTATATTTGAGCCCAGTCAGTATTTAAGTTCAGGAACTTTGACTTTATTTTAGGTGGGTAATGGAATAAAGAGTTGGGAAAATGTTTCTAGAGAGAAATGGGATAGATTGGAGGTCCTGTTAGCCTCCATGCTTATTCACTTCAGTTCTCTTCTTGGCTCTAGTTGGAATCGAAGCTTCTTAAAATGGCAGATGATTTGGACTTCGAGACAGGAGATGCAGGGGCCTCAGCCACCTTCCCAATGCAGTGCTCAGCATTACGTAAGAATGGCTTTGTGGTGCTCAAAGGCCGGCCATGTAAGATCGTCGAGATGTCTACTTCGAAGACTGGCAAGCACGGCCACGCCAAGGTTAGAATTTCACCTCCACATCTTGCTTTCCCCATGCTTCCAGTATCCTTGGCGCTCCCAGCAGCAAGTTGCCAACAGTGCTGACCTTCCTTTGACTTTGCTTTGACTGTCTGATTCCTTTTGTTTAGGACTCAGCCCTTATATCCATTGAGACCACTACACCTGCTCCCCAGTCTTCAGCCTCTTCTGGTTACCCTTCTGTCCCCCCATCATTCTTTGGCATTCCCTCCTTTTCTCCAGCTTTGTGCCAGTCTCAGGACTTCAATTCACAGGCCTTTATGCTCTAGCTATTCAGTTGCTCCCTTCTTATTCTTGGTTTTCACTTTTTCTGTTTCTTTCTTCCCTTGAGCCGTTGTAGGTGGTTGTTTCCATCACTATGCCCAAGGTTTCTCCAGTTCTGACAGAATGAGGCCTTCCCCTGGAGGGAGGGACTCCCGCATTAATTCTGAACTCTCAGATCACTTTGCTGCTTGATTCCTCAGTTCTAACTTTTCCTTGGGAACTCTGCTGCAGGATCCCACTCTCCTTGGGTTTCTTGAGCCACCATGCTTTCTTGGGTTTTAACATTCTTGCCATCACTTCTCTCATCACCTCAGACTTATCCTCTTTAGAATTTTTTTCAACCTGGTTTGTTCTTGTTGAATTTCTTGTGGTGATCTTCCTTAATCAGTTTTTCCATCTTTTGACTTGACGTTGATCTTGAGTTATTCCCTAATGGCTAGATCCTTCTCTGTGCTCTTCTGGCATCCTTATTTTCTAGCTGCATAGTTATTTCTTATCTCCCTGCAAGTCCCTTTTTCTTTTCAGCTCTTTCACATTTCTTCTTGTTTTCTTAACCATTTCCTTCTACCTTCCTTATTTCCCAGTTTCTCAGTTCCTTATCCTGGTGTCCAGAAAACTCTTCCAAACTTGTACCCAGACTCCTCCCACCTCCCCTAGACTCTTAGCATTAACTGTCTTCTCTAAGCCTGTCATGCCATTTTCTCTTGTGCTGCCAACCCCAATCCCGGTGGTCTTTTAGCCTCTGTTGGTTGGTTTTAAGAGGCTTTACTGTTTCTTGAGTTGATTGGTTCAATTCCAATACTCCCAGTCTTTGCCCCAACAGTGTAGTCTGACTTCCCTCATCAGGCAAGATCAATTTGAGCCTTTACTTTCTCCATCTTAAGCGAGTTTGGTTGGGTTTCTCTCTGTGATGCATACATACAGGTCCACCTGGTTGGTATTGACATCTTTACTGGGAAGAAATATGAAGATATCTGCCCGTCAACTCATAATATGGATGTCCCCAACATCAAAAGGAATGATTTCCAGGTATGTAGATGGTCTGAATGAAGATGGGTTAGTGGTTTATGGTGGAGGGGGATTGGAGGACAGGGACTGACCAGAAGAGCTTGTGCTGGGAGATAGGAGGGAAATGGCAGGAGAGGGTATTTGGTATTAGTTTGCTGTCATTCCAATCTGTCTCAGAGCCTTTACTCTCAGCCTACCTGGGCTAGTTACTACCTTCAGCTTCCTTCCCTATGTGCCCCCAGCTGATTGGCATCCAGGATGGGTACCTATCACTGCTCCAGGACAGTGGGGAGGTGCGAGAGGACCTTCGTCTGCCTGAGGGAGATCTTGGCAAGGAGATTGAGCAGAAGTATGACTGTGGAGAAGAGATCCTGGTATGGTGCCTCCCTCCCTGCTTTTGTGCTCAGCTTTGCTCTGTACATTTTTTCCTCTGAGCTCAGACATCTGGCTGTCCCTCTTGCTCCTCCAGATCACGGTGCTGTCTGCCATGACAGAGGAGGCAGCTGTTGCAATCAAGGCCATGGCAAAATAACTGGCTCCCTGGTGAGTGTCACAAATCCTTCACTGTCGCCTTTACATTTTGTTGTCCTCACTCAGCAGAGCTGCTCTAGTCTTAATTGCTCCTTTCTGCCCCTAGCTTGGCCCTGTCTTCCCTCTCCTTCCTGTTGAAGGTGTATTATCCTGTCTTACCAATTTCTTTCTCCAACCCAGGGTGGCGGTGGTGGCAGCAGTGATCCTCTGAACCTGCAGAGGCCCCCTCCCCCAGCCTGGCCTGGCTCTGGCCTGGTCCTAGGCTGGACGACTCCTACACAATTTATTTGACGTTTTATTTTGGTTCCCCCCCCCAATCTGTCGGGGAGCCCCTGCCCTTCACCTAGCTCCCTTGGCCAGGAGCAAGCGAAGCCATGGCCTTGGTGAGCTGCCCTCCTCTCCTCCCCTCACACTACAGCTCTGGTGGGGGAGAAGGGGTGGGTGCTGCTTGTGGATTTTTTTTTTTTTTTTTTTTTTTTTTTTTTTTTTTTTTTTTTTATTCAATCTGGAATCAGAAAGCAGTGGATTCTGGCAAATGGTCCTTATGCCCTCCCCACTCATCCCTGGTCTGGTCCCCTGTTCCCCATGGCCCTTTACCCTAAGCACCATCCCAACAGAATGGGGACCAGCCCCTCCCCTGCCTGCGTCTCTCTCCCCAAACCCCTTTAGATGGGGAGGGAAGAGGAGGAGGGGGAGGGGACTTGCCCCTCCTCAGGCATCTGGGAGGGCCCTGCCCCCATGGGCTTTACCTTTCCCTGCGGGCTCTCTCCCCGATACATTTGTTAAAATCAAACCTGAATAAAACTACAAGTTTAATATGAAGCCCCCAACTCAGCTGCTTATTTCAATTAAATGGGTATATTTGGAACCCACAAAAAGACTGACCTCTGCCACTGAGTTCATTGAAACCCACTATCTGTATCACTTTGACTTGCTGTAGACCTGCCAGCCTAACCCAACCCTTCAAGCAGCCTTGACCTATTCCAGACAGTTGGGTGGGAGGCAACACAAACAGCAGCAGCCAGGGGCAGTGGCAGGTAGATTTTATTGGCCTGGGACACACAGGGGGTACCCTCACCCACAGTAGGATGGGGGGTATGGTGTTGAAGATAATAATCTGATGGTCACTTGTGGTAGAATCGCGGGTTCTGGCTGTGTTGGATGAAGGGGAGCCGAGGGCCAGGTTGGCTGGTAGCTGCAAAGCCCGACTGGCGGTGGTGATGAAAAGAGGGCTTTGTCACTGGGCATACTTTCCCTTCCACTAATACCCTTACTGATAACCACCCCCAAAGAGGAAGGTAAAACCAGATGATGTGGGCCACCTGTCCTACCTAATTCTGCTTTTCTGGGATAGGGATTCTGACAGGTAAGGTTATTACCATTCTTACCTTTCCTGCTGGTTGGATCTGCACAGGGAGCTGGGGGGAAGCAAGGAGTCCAGGGGCTGGATGCAGAGCCTGGGGGTGCATGGGGCGCAGAGAGGACTGCAGAGAACAGAGTCAGGGCCTGACGCATACTGAAGCTCCTCTTAACATATCCTTAACCCTGACCTCCCAAGCGCCATACTCACTGAGTCAGAGAAGCCCGTCTGCTGGTTAGCATGTTCCATCTGCTTTTGCAAGGACAGGGCACCACCAGGCTGGAGGAAACCTAGGTGGGGAGCAGGGGCATGTGAAACAATGAGACAGGGAGGGGAGGACCCAGAGAGCTAGAGGTCCTGCATGGGATGTTATCACCTGTCTGAGTGGGCTGAAAGTGGCCGTGTACCGCATAGGGCTGTGGTTGTGGCTGAGATAGGTACTGCACTGCAGGGAACGCTGAAGGAGCTGAGAAAGAGACACGGCTATTAACCCTTTACTCAATAGCATTCCTCTTTTGACCCTGAGGAAAGCCAAGCCCCCATCCCTCCGACGACTCACCTCTGAGCTGCTGACTAGGACTATAAGCTGGCTGTGTGGGCCCATAGTGAGGTGGGGGCTGAGCAGTCCCATAGGCACCACCAGGACTGCCTTGGAATTGTCCATGCTCTGGTGTCCCCGCAAAAGCAGCTGCTGAGCCCACATAGTGCCGAGTCTAAGGAGGGAGAATGAGAACTCACCTACAAGCTCCATGAAAGCTGAAACTCAGTGACTTGTGTATATCTTTATGCTCTTGTTTCCCCCTAAATTTAAGTGCTTGATATGTCTGTGACTTGAATACTGGTGGCAAGGATATTTGGGACTAGGCATCCAATCCTATTCTTACCGTAAGCACTTGGGGTCCAAACATTTGTTTGGCTCTGTCAGCTGCCATAAGCGTGCCTGGGCGATTGTGTCCTCCAGGGCTCCCTAGAAAGGGAGAAGGGCGGCAGGATGCTGAAATGGTAGGCTGCAACCTCAAAGAAGGCTGGTTCTATCAGGTAGTTTTTTTAATCCTCACCTTGCATGCTGAGGAGATGAGTTCCTGTGTGAACAGTCAGGCTCTGCTGGTATGCAGCTGATGTCAGGGTGGTCAGGTCACTGGAGCGGAAGGAAAACAGATCAAAGTCAAGGACAGACACTCTCTCTTTTGTCGTTAAAACACTGGTTGTCTTACTATCTGATCCCAGTTCCACTTAGCCCCCATTTCGGTTTTTATCACTCTGATCCCACCTTTGTTCCTTTCGCCTCCGTTTTTCTTCCTCATGTAAAACTTTCTTGAGCTGCAGGAAAAGCTGGTGCTTTTCTTCCTGTAGGGCCAAAAGCTTCTCCTGCAACTTCAGAATCTGGTATGGGGTGGGGAGAGAAGATGAAGGCAGGGAGAGTCAAGGGAAGAATTTAGAGCTTGGAGAGATCAAGGGACTGCTTACTTGTTCCTTGGTCTCCTCTAGTGACATTCTCTCTTCCATCTCCTTTTTCTTCCTTCTTTCTTGCTCTTCCTTCATCTTCTGTTCCATCATCTTGTCCACCTCTTCTTCCTCTGGAGAATCACGCAGAATGAGGAAGAGGCAGGGTAGTAAAAATTCCAACGTTACAGATTGAAGACCAGCAAAACCCAGTCATCCCAACACGCCTGTGGGCTCTTTGCCTCGAGGGGACAAGCTCCCCAACGCTGCAATAGGGAATGGAATGGAGAGACTTTATCAGGTGCTCTCCAAGGTCCTTCCCAGCTCAAGGGTCCTGGAGAGTGGACTAGGACGCTTAAATCCTACCACAACAGAGCTGTTCGTTCCCTCCTCTGCGCTCGGCAGCGGGCGCGCAGGTTGGCCGGTGGGTTGGGGCCAGCCCTGAGGTACAGGAGCCATTCTGGGCCGTATGCCCTCCGCTATGGCCCCGGCTCACCCTGCCTCTTGCGCTCCCGTTCCATCATAATGTGCCGGTGCAGCGCCCTGGCCATGGCGTTGGAAAGCTTGGGGCGCTCCAGAAGTGCAGGCATGGTGCTGCCGTGGACGCCCGGCTCTGTCTCTCACTGCCAGACCTCAGACGAGACCTACGGAGAGGCGGGCGCTCAGAGGGGCCCGCGCCCGGCTCAGGCGGAAACCCGCTCGCCGCCCCGGTCACGTGTCCCGGGAGCCCGCCACCCGGCCGAGCCCGCAGCCCCCGCTCCAGCACGCGCGCGGGCGGCGCTGGGTCCCCGGCTCGGTGCTGCCGCTCCCTGCCTGGCCAGCCCGGACGCCAACCCTCCTTACCAGCCTTCTCTGCGCTTTTTCCGCGGCTCCGGCGCGCCCTGGACCCTACGTCACATCCGGTGGCCCGACGAGTCCTTCCGGAGTCACGGCGGCGGCCGATCTCACTGATTGGGTGGGAGAAGGCGGAAGCGCGATGCGACGGGTACCCGCGGCGTCCAAACCCCGTCGCCGCACAACTGCCTTGGCATCTTCAGTTCTCTTAATTTCGCGGGCCCGCCTGGCAGTACCCCAGGGGACGCAGGATCCGGAAAGGGGCGCGTGAGAGAGAGGCTGAAGCGGAGGCTCTGAGACGATGTTTATTGGCTCCTTAGAAATCAGAGTCAGTAACAACTGTACAGAGGCCCCCGTCTTCCGTGCGCCCGCCCTTCCCCACTCCCGCCCAGTGGCCCCGGAAAAAGCAGCTTCATGTGGGCACAGGTAGAGACTCCTCTGGGATTCACAGTAACCAGTAACAAAAACTGAAATAAATTAAGTGATGTCGGGGAGGGGAGTAATAGGGAGTTATGTTCCACAAATCAGTGCATGAAGAAGGGTACCAAGGCCTGGAGCTAGGCTCTCGCAGCTCCTCCCCTCAGACGGAGTGCTGGGCGTCTGGACCTGGAGTGTGCCGCTTCCCACCTACATCTGAGAGCCTGCCTACATGCTCCTGAGCGGCCGCCGAGCCCCAGCACCTGCGCATGCCACAGTCACGGGAATGAGGTGGAGGCAGTCGCCACTCGGAGTCCATGGGCCTGAGGCCCGACTGTGCTTGTAGTAGTGGTGTCTCACCCCTCATTCCACCCGTACCAGCAGAGCATAGAGGAGTGTGGCCCCCTTCTCCTTAGTGACCCACTCAAGTTCGGCTGGGCTGAAGTGAGGGTCAGAAGGTTCTCCAAGGGCAGCGGAAGGGGGTCCTGGGGTGTAGGAGCCAGGACGCACACACACCTGGAACGCCACCTGAGCCTGGTGCGTCCGCTGGGATTTGGGGTCCCGGAATCTGTCAGACAAGAAGAAATAGGGGAGTGAAGCCTCTCACCCCATCACCTCTCCCCTTGCAAAGTCTGTTCCAACCACACAAGCCTTGCTTTACCTAGGAAATCCTCTCACCTTTTGGGAACTTCGTTCTAGCTGTTCTTTCTACCTGAAATGCTCTTCCTCCCAAAGCCTGCTCAGCTACCCTTTACTTCCTTCTTCAAGCCTTTGCTCGAATGTCTCCCACCTTCCAGGCTGGAGTGCAGTGGCACAATCTCAGCTCACTGCAACCTCTGTCTCCTGGGCTCAAGTGATGCTCTTGCCTCAGCCTCCCAAGTAGCTGGGACTACAGGCAGGTGGCACCATGCCAGGCTAATTTTTGTATTTTTAGTAGAGATGGGGTTTCACCATATTGGCCAGGCTGGCCTTGAATTCCTGACCTCATGATCTGCCCGCTTTGGCCTCCCAAAGTGCTGGGATTACAGGTGTGAGCCACTGCACCTGGCCTCCCACCTTCTTATGATGCCCACAGCAACAGCACTGCTGTTTCCTTCACCCCACTCTTTGTTTCCGTAGTTCTTACTCAGACCTACTAAATGTTTATTATATGTAAACATTACAGAGAAAAGGCAGAAGTTCCACAAGAGCAAGTTTCCTTTTTTTGCCCACTAGATGAGCATACAAGTGGTATTTGTTCAATAAGTGAAGAAAGGGCTGAGTTGGAGACTGGGCAGCTAGCAAGACAAGATGAGAAAAGGGGACGGTAAATCACGAAGACCCCAGTGACTGCGCTGAGGCCCCTCTCCGTCTGAGGCCCTGGAGATCTCCCCGCCCCTCCCAGTACTCACTGCACTTTGGAGGCCAGGGACTCAGCCCCAGCATATTGAAGGGAGGGGGAAAGCAGCACCGGAGGGGGCTGCTCCTCCCGAGGAGGTGCACAGTTCTCGCCAGGCTCCTCAAACCCTACCCTAGGCTCTCCCTTCAAGGGACGGCAGCTCAAGATGGAGGCAGTACCTGGGAGGAGAACTGGGTTAGGACAGCCCTCTTTATTCCTCCATAGCCCCCGGGCTCAGCCCACCCTTCGAGGGCCTGCTCCCAGTACCTGCTCCCAGCTCCCCTCGGTCCAGCACTCTCCGTACAGCTGCCACATTGCTCCCATGATATGCCATGTGCCATTTCTTGGTTAGTGTCCCAGCCTCCAGGCAGGGATTCACTCTAGGAAGTA